CCATGGCCTCCATCCGAGCCGCCTTCAACGGGCCATTTGCGCATAAGGAGAGCCCTGATCATCGCTGGATGGAGTACAAGGGGAAGATCCCTTATCCACGGCCGGGGACGGTAAGTTCTCAACTGGAAGGAATTATGTTTGGTAGAGTAGAGAAGATGATTTGTCATATTGAGTTGCTTTCTTTTGGCAACTTGAAGGACTTCAGACTGTTCAAACTGTAATCTTGGTGTTGTGAGCAAGATTTTAGATCTACAGTTGGTTCTGGATTGCAGATATGTTGGGACAGCTTGTAAACCATGTGGCCAGTTACTCCATGCACTAGCTGCACTACCTCAAGGGGGTTGTAAAAATGTCGGCAGGCACTCTAGGGGTCACGCGTCGGTGCGGTTAATGAAGTGGCTGGAGTGTGGACTCCAGTGAGGTCACCAATAGGAAGTCAATTATCAGGGCTGTGAGGTCTGCTCCATTAGTTGCTAAAGTCATAACCACGGATTGACCACAACTCTGAGGTGACCGTTAAACCCTTTCAAATTCTGGGGTTTAGTGACTAGAACAGGGGTGTCCAGACCTGTTCCTGGAGGTCCACTGTCCTGCAAAGTTTAACTCCAACCCTAATTAAACACACCTGAATCAGCTAATAAAGGTCTTCAGGATTACGAGATACTTCCAGGCAAGTGTGTGAAGTTTTACACAATTACGATCATGAACATATTTTAGACTAATTTCACACATAGTAGTAAAATGGATCTACTTGTGTTTATTTCATTCGGACACCATTCTCTTACCTTTGCGCACATCGTTTGAAGGTCACCATCTTTAGTGGTTTTACAAGGTAAAAGCTGGTAAAACCTTACCTTTGCACAGGCAAGGTTAGTAAGCAAGTTTATCATACTAGATCGTGTTAACGTGTAACATTCCCTACTTTGGGGGGACTCGCTAAACCGAATTGTTCATGACAACTGAAGATTCCTTAAAAACTGCATTTCGCAATATGGGTAAACAAGAATTATGATGTTCAATGCACTATGATCTCGAACAGTGGCCAAAATCCACATCTGCGTAAATGTTTTTGACTATTTTTACCTTAGTCTGGGACTGTTAAGCCAAATTCAGTCCCTACAGGGTTCCAGAATATAAGCTTAACTAAAGCTCCTATATCCCTTCAGTGTCCGAGTGAAACCTATGACCCTTTGCACAAGTCCACCCGAGATTTCCCAGATGATGTTGTGAGCTTCATGAGGACCCATCAGCTGATGTGGGAGCCAGTGATGCCCATTCATAGGCGTCCCGTCTTTACTCGGATCAGTGCCCCCTACAGGCTGAAGAAGCTCGTGGTTGATAGGGTTGATGCAGAGGACGGCCATTATGATGTCTTACATCTTGGCACAGGTATGTTGGAAAGTGGTAAACAAAAGATCTACGTTTTCAGTGAATGGGATCTTTTATACTAGTAAAAAAGTGTGACAACTAGCGGTTGGTGTTAGCATTAGACCTAAAATTGCACTGCAAATATGGAAATCTGTAAATGCTATCAAAGACGACCTCTGTTCCCACGCTGGTCAGTGGTCCTGTTGCCTGGGATTATTCTGACATTCCGAGGAGCCAATGTTTCTTTTCCTGTCTAACATTTGTTCTCCTGGACTGGTGGGTGAATGCATGAACTCTGCCACATTTAAGTGAATCATTTAGGGCAAATAGATACTCTGTTCAGGATAAATATGCTTAACCGATGTGTACAGAGAGCCAACTCGCAATCTTACTGTGTATAGGACTAGAACAGTGTAACAGCTGTCAGCCCTCAAGGTGCAGCATAAATCCACATGCCGAAAGCCAGTGCTCACTCACCATGGTAACTAAGTACGGGTGCATTATGGGATATATTCAAAGATGGTGCAATTGATGGTTCAGGTTGAAGTTTGATGTGAATATCTGTCAATCGTTCTATCATTCAGTCGTCTTATATCTATCTGTCTGTCTATCTATCTATCTACCTATTGTTCTATCATTCTATCTATCGTCCTATCGTTCTATCATGTATCTATTTAACGTTCTATCTATAATTCTATCGTTCTATCTATCATTCTATCGTTCTATCTATCGTTCTATCTATCGTCCTATCTATCGTCCTATCTATCGTCCTATCTATCGTCCTATCTATCGTCCTATCTATCGTCCTATCTATCGTCCTATCTATCGTCCTATCTATCGTCCTATCTATCGTCCTATCTATCGTCCTATCTATCGTCCTATCGTTCTATCCTGTATCTATTTAACGTTCTATCTATCATCCTATCATTCTATCATGTATCTATTTAACATTCTATCTATAATTCTATCATTCTATCTATCATTCTATAGTACTATTGTTCTATCTATCTGTCTTAATCATGCATGGTAAATCTTCTGTATCTCCAGATGATGGCAGAGTATTAAAGGTGGTCTCTGTACCTAAAGAGAACTGGGAAACTGAAGAAATCATTCTAGAAGAGCTTAATGTCTACAAGGTAATTTAAAATGAGCTTAGTTTCTTCTCTCACTTGTTTATCGTGCCATCTATTGGACTCATGACCTCTGACCCTGGGCTCTTATTGGTTGTTGTTTTCATGTCAAGCGCTTCCCAAACAAAAATAACTCTTAAAGAAGAAAACCAGATTTCTCATGGCTGTCTACTCAAGTAAACAAACCCAGGAACAGGAGAGGCAGCGTTACACCAAGAATATTGTGTTTAGTGAACAAAAACATCATCTCATTTACAGTGGCGGCTCATGGGCTTTAAAATGGAGGAGGCACACTAATTGTATTGGTCTGGGATCCCTGCCGATTATTATTATTATTATTATTATTATTATTATTTGCGTAACCACTTTAAAATGGCTTTTTGGTTGCTTTTAGTCAGAACACGTAAAGAAAACGACACGCATACAGCAAGATAATATACCGTACTGACCCGAATATAAGACGTTTTTTTTTCTTGGAAATACATCTGAAAAAACGTGGTCGTCTTATATTCAGGGTCTTGACTTTGACATGTCAATAATATACCCACAACAATAGGTGGCGCCAAATGCGCATAAAACGCCATGAAATACGTAAATGCGTGTTGTAAAGATCGCGACCAAACTCCCTTTGTGATTTTAAAACGTAAGACAGATTTGAAGATCAAAAAAATCAAAAAGATTTGAAGACTACAGTAAGATTTAACTTCTACTGTTAATAAGATTTTGGTAGGCTACTATGAGATGGATGGCCTAAATGTCCTAATTCAGATGGGCTACCTGTTTATTTTTTAATGGTATATCAAAAAGTGTATATTTTTTAAATGTGATTGTTGGTGCAGTTTACCAGTTTTTACCATACTTTCAAAACAAAATTTAAAATAGGAAAAATATGCAATATGAAAATAATTGAAGACAAAATGTGTTTTACTGAGAAAAAACAAGATTTGGTTTTTAAAAAGCCTTTTTCCAAAAGGTATATCTGGAAAAAGGGGATAATGGATCTGAGGGTCAGTAACATCCTCTTGTGGTCCGCAGGCATGCCCGGAGACAGGATGTGAGGTATGGAGACCCCTGGAGCCAGTGTCAGGACATGAGAGACGGTAATAAATCACTTTCTGTTCACCTTACCACTTTCCACCTTCAGGTTGTAGATGATATTGGCCAGTCTTGAAAAAAAATGCACACTACTCCCTCTAGTGTACAAAATGGACACTAACACATGCTAAGATGTGTGCACCAGTTCAATATGAAATCAAAATTGATCTTGTTTACATTCTTAATACAAGTTTTTGGTCTTACTGTTAAAGTAATAGAACATTCCAAATTAAAAAATAAAAAATAACTTTTCGGGAGCTAAAAGTGTCCATTTGTCTCTACATGTTCAGAGAATGCTGAACTGAAGACAGTTTACGCTGTGGAGACAAACTCAACCTTCCTGGAATGTGTCCCACGTTCACCACAAGCCATGATCAAGTGGATAATTCAGCCAAACCACAGCCAAAGCAGCAAAGAGGTCCGTCCACATCCTGTTTAGAAGATTTAATCACGAAAAACCATGAAATAAGTGGATATACACTTAATTCATCCTCTTCTATTCTAACACAAACCCCTTTCTATCTCTCAGTTGGTTCCAGGTGAAGAAAATCTCATCCACATGCAACGCGGGCTCCTCCTCCAGCACTTAGCATTCGCTAATGCTGGCCTGTACCTCTGCGTAGCCTACGAACACTCGTTCTCCCGCACGCTAGCCCGCTACGAGGTCCACGTTATCCCCCAGAACCACATCTCGAGAGTGCAGAACACCCATCCCGGAAATCACGCAACCTCGCCACGGGCCTACAAGGAACTCCATCTAATGGGAACGTCTGATGAGTACTGTGAACATCTTTGGTACCTCGAAAAACGACGACAGCAAAAACTACGCTCGCTAAAGTTGAAGCAGGTGGCTGAAAATCGTAAAGCGAGTTCTATCTGGTAACTTCAGATTGGTCGTGGGCCCTGTGTCTCATCTGATTGCCCATTGAAGCAACATCAGCCTTAGAGTGGCTCCTTCTATGGGTAGATCTTTCCTTTGTGTAGACTAGCCCCAGGCAGCAGATCAATGGCACAGTCCCGGTGTGGTGGTAGTTGGGTGGCTGCCTGGTTGCTGAATACATCCCGGAACGCCTGGTATTCTCAACCGTGGTAGATGCAAGGTCTACAGGCTTGCAGGAAGGGGATAGTTGAGGCCTTGATGGAGATCCGGAAGATTTCATAATAGGTGAAAGACTGTTCAGATGGCAGCGCTCGCCCCACTGAAGAATCGCTCCAGTATTCCAATCCACGATGGGTGCGTGTTGAGTCATCCACGGGCATCCCAGGATGATGTCAGCCATAGAACCCTCCAGCACCAGAAAGGAGATTTGCTCTTGATGTAGATTCCGGATGCGGAGCGTGACGGTAGGTGAGCAGATGCGTCTGCGGCCCAGCGGCTTTCCTAGGATTCCGTTTGAGTTGAAGTTTTTGCTGTAGATCTAGGGAGATGAAGTTCCCCAAGGAACCAGAGTCAACATGGGCTTGCGTTGAAACAGAGTGTTGGGTAGTAGTTACCATAATGGTAGTACGAGTCAGAGATGCGATCATGGGTTGAATTTGAACTGTACTCACCGCTGGGCGAGGTGGATGGACAGGAAAGGTGGATAACAGGTGACCACTGGCTCCACAGTTCAGACATAATTGATTAGAGATTCTCCTCTGACGCTCCACATGGGACAGGCGATAGGTAGCCATTTGCATCGGCTCTGGTGCTGGAGGGGCGACTGATGGAGGAGCTGCAGTGGACTGATCCATTTCACATGCTGACATGCACTGTGAGAGGTGAATGGCCCGCTGAATAAAGTTCTCTTGCCCCACAACACCATCATAAATCTTTGATATTAGAATCAGCAATCAATCAATCTATATATACTACATTATATTTAATTTGCAATATTAGTGTTATTGTACATACGATTCATAGATTGATTAGTTCCTTTTAATACAATCGTAATTACTTATTACTTGTCAATTACATAATATTTAGCCTACATCTCTCCAGCTCGCCAAGACACTTCAAAAAAGTAAAATATATATATAAAAAAATCAAATAAACCCTAAATGCATTTGTTGATTATCGCAGACAGAAACAGGATGACTGCTGAGATGACAGCAACATGTCTCTAAAAGTGACTGAATTTTATTTACAAACTAACTGACACTTGAATTTCCTTCAGGAAATGCAAATATAAATTTACAGTGTTAAAGCAATCTGTAATAATCATACACTCTAAAAACAATGCTGGGTTAAAATCAACCATTTTGGGGTTATTTGGCAACCCAGTGCTGGCCCAGCACCTCTGGATAAATATCGGACAGAACACATGTTGGGTGTCACATACCCTGCGTTCCATTCGGAAGGGCTCATCCCTATTCTCTAATCCCTTCAATAGGTTTGCCCTCCAGAGTGAGAGCTTCGAAGGGTTGAAGGGTGTATAGGGGACCAAACAACTGTTCCTTGAAGTGCCCTTCTGCGTCATCATCACGTGCCCACACGGAGGCGCCGTCATCATGCAAAGAATCTGCGCAAAGGATCATGGGAGCCTGAAGTGTCCATCAGTTGTACTCTTCGAAATCCCTCATTTTGAAGGGCCCTTTGAAGTGGCCAGTTTTGAGCACTTTGGTTTAGAACGACCTTTCAATATGGCGGCCATGATTGTTTTCACACCAAAGTGCCCTTCGGAGGGCGATATATCCCGTTTGGAAAGCACCGAGAGTTTCCAGCCACGCCAGGTCCTGCAGCACCACCCATTTGTTCACAATCCCCGGAGTTTTGATTCACCGCACCTGCCTTCACCAATCAAGCCACCATTTATAAACCCTCACTGTGCACTTCCCATTTGTCTGGTCTTGTTACCTTATGCAATGAACCTGTTATGTTGCCAACTCTTCCGGCTTCACCAAGGTAGTCTGCTGGATTCACTAACAACCATGTCACCTCCTTTAACACACATAGACTGCTGTTGTGCTCACTGTGATGAGTTTTGAAAAAGTGACCTAATTATTGAGAAATTGGTCCTAGAGATTGTAAAAAAAAAATGTGTGTATGTAATGTGAATATATCAATGTACTGTACTGATAACCACCATAATAATACAGATAGAGACAGATAGAAGACCACATGATGAATCAGACTTCCACCAGCAAGGAACAGTGAATGTAAATGTTCTGGAAAGTGGTTTTGTGCCTCTCTGTGATGGTAGAGTGGGTGTGAACTTTTCAGGCACACCTGTAGAGGGAGCTCTCATGTTAGCTATATGGAAATGTTTATGCACTACTCACAGAACAAATGTTTAAACATACTTGAGGAAGTACTTAACATACTTTACTTGGGTCACAAAAAAACATTTCTGTTCTGTGTACCTCTTTGATAAAGAGTGACTAAGCTGTGGGCCTTATTAGCCATTATATGTTACTTGAAACCGAAGGACTGTTGTTAAATTACAACTATAAGAAACTTGTTAAAAATGAAAATAATTAGAGGTACGAAATGACATCTGTGTATATGTGGATTGTATTGTGATTTTTAAGCACTGTATAAACATGCATTAATAATATGATGCATTTGGGGGATGTTATGATATTACCTTAATAGAACAGTATTCATATCCAAACCAAGCTATAACACATTCATTTAGTTTCTTAGTTAATTCACTACTCAGCTCTAGACTAGAAAAGGCAGATGTTTAAAAGTTGTATAATAATCTTATAATATACAGGCACAATAGTATTAGCTTTTTCTCCAGAAACAAATATTTATGGCTTTATGGATTCGATTTTTTTCAAAACGCATTACTATGTGTATGTGGGATAAACTGTGGATCATTTATCATTGCTTTGGCAGAACATGCATTCAGTACATCTTTCCAGCTTTGGTTATGGGAAAGTGAGGACGGTTGCAACAATTTTTGCACTTCCTTCAGTTTCTCTAAGACTGAGAGTGTTTGTATTGGGAAGCCAAAATTTTGATTATATTAAACCCACTTCTGTCAGCTACTCACCCACACTGCTGAAACATGTGATGATATATGTACAATTTATACTTCAATAGTCAAAGTCAAATGTTGCCGCTGACCCCATATCAAGGAACTGTTGCAACAGTCCACAGCTTGGGCAGTTGCAGCATTCATTAAAATATAATACAATCACTCTTTAACACCATTTTGCAATTTCTGTGTTTTATTTGTGCACAGACATTGTCTTCACTAAGTTAAATTGGCTGTATAAAGACAAAGACTAGTAAATGAAAAAAAAAACATTTTCAAGTAACAACCATTCTTACTTTAGCTTCTGCCACGCCTACGTCATTTGTCATAACTCGACTCTTTTGTGAATGTGCGCACTGCAGTTGCCAGAAAAAGTGACAGTAATACCAGTAAATGAGCAGGAAAAGGAAAAACGTATGTATAAATCAAACCGAATGATCTGTGTGTGTGTGTGTGTGCGCGCGCGTTTTTGTGACAAATGAGGACATAAATTTGTATAATGACAAAGGTATGACATAGGTATTACAAGGAGAAGGTGACTTTTCAGGACATTACCCCATGTCCCCACTTTTCAAAACACTTATAAATCACACAGAATGGAGTGTATTGAAAATCTGAAATAGCACAACGTTTCCTGTAAGGGGTAGGTTTAGGGGTAGGGTTGGTGTAGGGCAATAGAATATACGGTCTGTACAGTATAAAAACCATTACGCCTATGGGATGTCCCCACTTTTCACAAAAACAAACCTGTGTGTGTGTGTGTGTGATGTAGCTTATGTGTGTGTGACAGGGAGAGGGTAAGACAAAAAGAAAGTAGTCCACATCAGATCAGCTATTTTCTTAAATTAAAAAGGGGAAGATACTTGACTATTGAAAGGGTTTCTTTATTAATCCATAAAATTACAATGTGGTTATGACAAGTTTTACATCAATGTTGTGATGAGAGACAGCATGCTGGGACAACAACATGTCCCTACACTGACAGCAACGATAAAACTTGCAATGCTATCTTGACACATGCTAGCTATTAATGTAGCTTATGTGTATGTGACAGGGAGAGGGTAAGACAAAAAGAAAGTAGTCCACATCAGATCAGCTATTTTCTTAAATTAAAAAGGGGAAGATACTTGACTATTGAAAGGGTTTCTTTATTAATCCATAAAATTACAATGTGGTTATGACAAGTTTTACATCAATGTTGTGATGAGAGACAGCATGCTGGGACAACAACATGTCCCTACACTGACAGCAACGATAAAACTTGCAATGCTATCTTGACACATGCTAGCTATTAACACTGATTAAAAGTATATGATTTTACAATGCTACAGTTTAGACAGTATTACAACAACTCATAAAAAATTACTTGTTTACTTTTTTTTTAAATAGCGCAAAGGTAGTAGATTGCGTAACAAGAGAGGTAACAGTTCACAAATCGCACTAAACGATTCATTTGTGAATCACACTGATCCGATTGCAGCTGTTCTTGATTCAACAAGATCACAACTTGGTTCATATCACAACATACCTGGGCTGATCTGCAGTGTGTAGAGTGACAGAATCTCCCTCCATCACTGACAAAGTCTTCATTTCACCTGCCACAACAACAAACACACCTGAAACACGTTCACACATGAACTTTTAACTCTGCAAGAACAGTATTTTAGACTGATTTGAGGATTGTTGTGGAAAACGCAGAAAGATGTGAAAAATCTGAAACTTTTACTAACAAAAGATTAAAGTGACTAAGTTTTGCCTAAGAAATTACACATTTATCTGTACATTAATATGCAATTCCTGTGAGTTTAC